AAAAAAAAAAAAAAAAAGCTAGTCATGGTGGCACATGCCTGTGGTTCCAGTTACTTGGAGGGCTGAGGTGGAAGGATCACCAGAGTCTAGCAGGTCGAGGCTGTGGTGGCCGTTGAGTGTGCCTCTGCACTCCTGCCTGGCGACAGAGTGAGATTCCTACTCAAAGAAAAAAAAATCTAGGTAGTTTCTAGGTTTTGGCTATTATTATTTCTTTTTTTTTTAAATAATAATAATACATACTTAGTTACATACATTTTAGGAGGCCAGAAGTTATAGAAAACCATGAATCAATACATGTGAGATTTACATTGTTTCATCAGTTCAGGAAGGTAGGACATCTCAAAGTGGGGGCTTACGTGGATTCAGAGACTTCCTGACTCACAGTAACCAGTCTTTTATCTAAGGAATTTTGAAATCAGTAGAGGAGATGTCCTATTGAGATAAGGGGGAGGAGGAAATTTCAAGTTTCTTTTTTTTTTTTTGAGTTGGAGTCTCACTCTGTCGCCCAGACTGGAGTGCAGTGGTCACTTCCAGCCACCGCAGCCTCGACCTGCTGGGCTCCGGCCATCCTTCCGCCTCAGCCTTCCAAGTAGCTGGAATTACAGGCATGCGCTACCACGCCCAGCTGATTTTTTTTTTTTATTTATTGTAGAGATGAGGTCTCGCTGCCCAGGCGGATCTCGAACCCGCAGGCTCAGGCATTCCACTCACCTCAGCCTCCCAAAGGCGTGGGATTACAGGCTGAGCCACCGAGCCCAGCTCAAATTTCTTAATATGTAGATGAAACTTCATAGATGGCATACTTTAGAGAGAATAGGTTAAGTGCCTTAAAAGGTGTCCAGATCCTGGGAGTTCTTAAGAGACAGCTTTACAGAGTCATAAAGTACTTTGGTTTTCCTTCTTTATCTGTTATGTGATGTTATGCCAGAGTCAGGTTGGAAACCTCGTTGTAAAGGGAGAGTTAATAAAAAACCTGTCTTCCTAAACTCCTTAATTTGGAATTTGGCAAGGTAAAGAAAAAAGGTCACAGTTTAGTTCTTACTATGAACATTAGCATATAGGCTTTTTGTGAATTGCATTTTTTTTTCTTTTTTCGCCTCTATCACCACTTACATGATGTCGATTTAATTTTTATTTCCCTGAGATAATTGCTCAAGAGTGCAATTACTGGGTTATATGGTAATTTCATGTTTAGTTTTATAAGAAACAAATTGGCAAACTGTTTCCCAAAGTGACTGTACCATGTACATTCCCATGAGCAATGTGTGAATGATTCAGATTCTCTGCATCTTTGTCAGCCTTTTGTGTTGTCACTGTTTTTTTTAGCCATTCTGATAGGTTTGTTTTAAAAGGTCCCTTTTCAAGATTAAGATTGCCTGTATTCTGATTTAGAAGGACTTTGTTGGCTCTATATAGTCTCCTTACTCATGCATATTCTTAGGAACTCGAGGCTGCTATCCAGGAAGACACTAGCCTGGTCTCAGTCATGACTGTGAACAATGAAATTGGAGTGAAGCAGCCTATTGCAGAAATAGGTGTGTATCGTGAGTTAATCCTGATTCTTGTCCGTCGTGGGGTTGCATCTGAGGGAGCAGGGATAGACTGGGAGCTATAACACTTTATGAACTATAACACTCAGTGGCTCAACCTGTGATCCCAGCACTTTGGGAGGCCAAGGCGATTGGATTGCCTGAGCCCACATGTTTGAGACCAGCCTGGACAACTTGGTGAGACCTCGTCTCTACAATAAATAAAAAAATTAGCCGGGCATGGTAGTGTGCACCTGTAGAATTACTCAGAAGGCTGAGGCAGAAGAATTGCTCAGGTCGACGCTGGGGTGGCCATGAGTGTGCCACTGCCCTCCAACCTGGGCAATGGAGTGAGACTCCAACTCAAACAAAACAAAACAAAATAAAAAACACTTTATAGAGTGCAGTAAGGAAATCAAGGGAAAGAGCCTGAGTACCTTGTTCAGGACATCCTTTATGTTTGTCATTTTATTGCATTTGCTGCCAAAAACAACAAAAAAGCCTTTTACTGTGGTTCCAGCTTCTTGGAAGACTGAGTCAGAAGGATCACCTGAGCCCAGCAGGTGAAGGCTGTGGTGGCCGTAAGTGTGGTCACTGTACTCCAGCCTGGCCACTCCAGTGTCGACCTGAGCAATTCTTCTGCCTCAGCCTTCTGAGTAATTCTACAGGTGCATGCTACCACACCTGGCTAATTTTTTTTATTTATTGTAGAGACGAGGCCTCACCAATGGAATGAGACTCCAACTCAAAAAAAAAGGCTTTTTACCTTTGTGATGTGTAATCCCCACTAAGAGCTCACTCTGTAATCTCTTTAAGTATTAGCAAAAAGATGTTAAACTATTCATCTTTTTTTGTTTTGTTCTGAGTTGGGGTCTCACTGTGGCCCAGGCTGGAGAATGATGGCACATTCACGGCTCACCGCAGCCTCAACTTCCTGGGCTCGGGCAACCCTTCTACCTCAACCTCCCAAGTAGCTGGGCCTATAAGCAAAGGCCACCATGCCTGGCTAATTTTAAAAAAATGTTTTTTGCAGAATTGGGGTCTCACTATGTTGCCCATGCTGGTCTTAGACTCCTGGGCTCAAGTGATTCTCCTGCCTTAGTCTCCTAAAGTACTGGAATTACAGATGTGAGACATCATGCCTGGCCTTGCCTGGCCCTTTTTGGCTTGTATTTTATTCATTCATTCATTTATTCATCTTGAGTATGAGCCTCACTCTGTTACCCAGGCTGGAGTGCAGTGGCAGACTTCTGGCTACTGCGGTCTCCACCTCCTGGACTCAGGCAATCCTTCCCATTAGCTTTCCAAGTAGACTGAGCTAATTTTTTGACTTATTGTAGAGATGAGGTCCCACCAAGTTACTCAGGCTGGTCTTGAACCCATGGGCTCAGGCAGTCCTCTCGCCTCCACCTCCCAAATTGCTGGAATTACAGGCGTGATCCTCTGTCACTGTGCCTGGCCCTTTTCGTCTTTTAAATAAATAAGTATCTAAAGGGTAACCTAACATACTGAAAGGCTGTCGTTAATGAGGTGGTAGGAATCTTATGTACCTGAAGATCATGAATGTTTTGATTTGGTGCTTTGCCCTTTATCTTTTTTATTCTAGTAAAGGGAGGCTAGAGAGAGAGAGCAGAAGTATAAGGGGCAGAACAAGGGAAGGAAGGGGAAGAGGTGGGGAAGGGAGGATATTTACTAGATTATCAACAAAAATCATTTACTATGGGTAGAGAAAATTCATAGTATATTGTGGGACCACTGCCAAGTGACTTCCCAACATTGAGCTGTGGGTCTTCCCCTCTGTTGTTTCAGGGCGGATTTGCAGTTCCAGAAAGGTGTATTTCCATACTGATGCAGCCCAGGCTGTTGGAAAAATCCCACTTGATGTCAACGACATGAAAATTGATCTCATGAGTATCAGTGGTCACAAAATATATGGTCCGAAAGGTACCAGGCCTTCCTAGAGTTTCTCCTCTCTGTACCTTCCAGCAAGACCTTTTACAGATGTTCTTGGAGTCACTTGGGACTAGTCTCGCTCTCAGTAGAATCTGTACATTCGAAGTCCTTTGCAGAATGCAGTGTCAGCCGGGCTCGGTGGCTCAGCCTATAATCCCATGCTTTGGGAGGCTGAGGTGAGTGGATTGCCTGAGCCCGTGGGTTCAAGACCTGCCTGGGCAACTTGGCGAGACCTCATCTCTACAGTAAATCAAAAAATTAGCTGGGCGTGGTATTACATGCCTGTCGTTCTAGCTACTTGGAAGACTGAGGCGGAAGGATCGCTGGAGCCCAGCAGGTCGAGGCTGCGGTGACTGGGAGTGTGCCACTGCACTCCAGTCTGGGCAACACAGTGAGACTCCAGCTCAAAAAAAAAACAAAAAAAACAAAGAATGCAATTATCATTTAGCAATAGCCAAAAACATTTGCCTATTTGTAGATACTTAACAGTTACTATACAGCAGACCATTCCTTCTTGGTCCCTTTTAAACGTCTTTACAAGGCATCTAGATATTAACTTGGTTGACAAACTAGGGATTTCGTCAAATCAAATTTAGCTAGATGGGGTGAGCTATCTTCTATGCCTCACTATGATGTGCAAAGCAGTGTTCTTTGGTTCCTTCATTTCCAGTGTCTTCTTTTCATGTAGAGGAAGATTGTATGGGATTTTACTTCTCTTGGTCTCTATTCCTAGAAGACTTAGTAGTTCGTGTTCCTGTTAGTCTTTCAGTGAAACCCATTTATTCCCTATGGTTCTATTGGCATAAGAATGTTTTCAACCTGGGTGTGATGGCTTACGCCTGTAATCCTAGCATTTTGGGAGGCAGAGGCAAGAAGAGTGCCCAAGCTCAGGGGTTTGAGACCAGCCTGGACAAGTTTGCAAGACCTCATCTCTACAATGTATCAAAAAATTAGCTAGATTAGCTAGGCGTGGTGGCGCATGCCTGTAGTTCCTGCTACTTGGAAGATTGGGGTAGAAGGATTGCCTGAGTCCAGCAGGTCGAGGCCGTGGTGACTGTGAGCATGCCATTGCACTCCAGCCTGGGAAACAGAGTGAGACTCCAATTCAAAAAAAAAAAAAATGTTTTCAAGCTTAAGTTCTGTCTCTTTCCCTCAGCCCTTGGGAAGAGACTGATTGCCCTCTATTTTATGGAGGTACATATAAAAATAACCTCTCTGTCTCTCAAGTGAGGGCCTTTTTTTGGTTGATGTCTATGCCAGTACACCTTTATGTCTGCAGGATACATTATCTGGATGAATGTCCTGTGGAACCAAGTGTAATAGCTTCTGCAGTATGGAAGATAGCTTCTTCTAATGGTTTCCAGAGGTTGTAAAGAGTATTTTTGTGAACTATTATTTCAAAAAGCCCAACAGACATTCTATTTTTATTTAAATATATTATTGTAGATCTGTCTATTTTGATAAAACTAATGAACTCCTATTGATCAAAAGCTCTGATCAGCACTTAAGTGTGTACAGGTATCCCTCATTATTCAAACTCCTGCTATCCAAACCCCAGATCTAAATAAATTTAGATAATGTGGTATCCTTCACTGTCCAGATGTGATATCTGAGCACTCGCTCTTTGAATTTGGGAACTGCATTAGTGCAGGACATTTGAATTTTTTTTTTTTTTTTAGTTGGATCTCACTCTCACCCAGGCTGCAGTGCAGTGGCACGCCCACGGCCACCGCAACCTTGACCTGCTGGGCTCAGGTGATACTTCCACCTCAACCTTCCAAGTAACTGGAACTACAGGCACGGACCACCATGCCCAGCCTATTTATTGATTTATTGTATAGATGAGGTTTTGCCAAGTTGCCCAGGCTGGTCTTGAACCTGTGGGTTCAGGCAATCCTCTTACCTCGACCTCCCAAAGTAGTGGGATTATAGACGTGAGCCACTGTGCCTGTGCGAAATATTTCTTTTCTCTCCCGCGCCTTTGGGAGGCTGAGGTGAGTGGATTGCCTGAGCCCGCAGGTTTGAGACCCACCTGGGTAGACGAGACCTCATTTCTACAATAAGTCAAAAAATGAGCCAGGCGTGGTAGCGCGCGCCTGTAGTTCCAGCTACTTGGAAGGCTGA